CTTTCTTTCTTTCTTTCTTTCTTTCTTTCTTTCTTTCTTTCTTTCTTTCTTTCTTTCTTTCTTTCTTTCTTTCTTCTTTCTTTCTTTCTTTTCCTTCCTTCCTTCCTTCCTTCCTTCCTTCCTTTTTTGAAATATCTTATTGATTACATCATTAAAAAATTGGATATGGTGTGGTCGTCCTGGCATTCATTTTTGCCATATGTACTAAAGTATATGTATATACATATAGTATATACATATCTTACATACATTTATACAGTTAACTTACATCTATTGTACTATCCGTCATGTTCCATTGTCCTTATTTACATAACCTCAGTTATCCATTCTATTAAATCCTAATCATTTTTTTTAATTCTGGGTCCCTCCTTTCTGTTCCCACCATTGGTAAAAATTATTCCATATCTTGTAATATTCTGCCTCATCTTTATCTTTCTTTTTTTCTTTTTCTTTTAATTTTTATTGAACATAACAATTAAAAAACATTGAATGTAGTGGAGTCATTTTGACATAACTTTTGGTCATCATTCTAGTGAAATATAATAGAATATAGATCTTATATACATTTATACATATATACACACATACATTTATTCATCCTTATTTACATATTCCAACACTCTTAGTATTATTTAAGTCTCATGATCACTGATATCTTCTTAACAATTCTTTTCAGTCTTGAACCCTTCCTTTCTGTCCCTACCAATAGTAAAATCTATTCCAAATTATATAATATTCCGATACATCCTTATTTTTCATCTCTAGTGTTAGCCTATCCATTTCAGCGCAAGTCAAAATTGTATTTATTACTTCATTTTTTCACTAGGAATTTCTTTCTCTTTCCACTTATCTTTATTTTTCAATTCCATAGTTAGTCTATCCATTTCAGCACACATCAGTATTTTCTTTATCACCTTTTTGAGACAAACTTTCAGTGGCATTGAGAGCCACCCTTAACATTTCTGGAGAAAAAGCCAAGTGCAGTGATGCAACATGGTTGTGACAAGGATCGGCTGATCTATTTCCTGGCACGGGCATAGCATTTGCTATGTTTTTGTCCCTTTACTTTTTAAAGGACATCAAATTCTTACCCAACGGCTTTCTTTGTGTACTCGGAAGGAGGGGGGGGGGAAATAGCTCAGTCAATTTCCATACTTAAAACTGAACCACATTTTGGCATTTGATTCACCATCGACCCATTTAATTTTCACATTCACATTTTTGAACATTCACCAGTTTAACTTGGTGAGCTCCTGACTATTGCATTTGGGCTTTACCACACTGAAGAATTACAGGTAGTCCTCAACTTACAACAGTTTGTTTACTGAGCGATCAAAGTTACCACGGCACTGAAAAAAAGTGACTCGTTGTGACTGTTTTTTTCATATGGTACCTATGACCGTTGCAGCATCCCCGTGGTCACGTCATCAAAATTTGGACATCTAGAAACTAGTTCATATTTATGACGTTTGCAGTGTCACATGATCTTCATTGGCGACCCTCTGACGAAGTCAGTGGGGAAGCCAGATTCATTGAACACCCTTGCTGCTAACTTAAAACTGCATTCACTTAGCAACTGTGGCCAGAAAGGTCATAAAATGGGGTAAAACTCACTTAACAACTGACTCGCTTAACAACAGAAATGTTGGGCTCAATTGTGGTCATAAGTCGAGGACTACCTGTATAACTAATCTTCTCTTTAAGTCAAGAACATTTATTAAGACGCCTGTTGCAAGGCAACACAGATCTTTAACAAAGCTCACTTCTTACTTCAGTCCATTGGAAAACTTGTCCATTCATTCTTAACCTTTATGTTTTCTTTGCTAACAAGAAAGCAGTTTGTATAAAGATGGGTCTTTTTATCTCCATGGCTGCTCTGTTTGCTGACAGCCTTAGAGGTTAGTCTAAGGCTTTTTCAAAATCCAAGTATACACTGCTGACAGAGTTACATCCATTCACTCTCAAAACAGCTCAGGAGACTGGTCAGGAAACACCAACTTTTAACTTTGCAGAGTACTCTTATTTATTTGTATTTCTTCTTCTTCTTTTAGCTGCCACAATCAAGAGATTCTTGACGTGTTACAATATCAACAATAAAATGCCTGCAGTAATTTTACACAGCCGTAAACAATAATTAAACACAGATAAGATCATAAAACAGGCAATCAAAAAGTCATAAAAATATATAGTGATATCCTTTAGCAAGAGTTCCCCCCCGCCACCTAAGGCTTAGGAATTTTAAGTGAGTGTTCGGGACTTTGGAGAAGGTATGGCAACCTGTTTTGCAGAGCTGACAATAATGGCAAAGATCAAGAAAATGATGAGAAGACCAGTTCCTTGGTATCTCTCTGGAAATGGAGAAGATGGGAGAGTGCCCATATGTGCTCTGGACGGCTGGTCCTCTCAAAGAGACTACGGAAAAGTAGTTTTCTGTGTGTTTGAGCATCAGGAGACAATGGGATTAGCCATCTCACTTGCAACTGCTGTGGAGACTTTCTGAAATTGCCTTTCTGAAAGACAGGTTTGAAAAGTCTTCATTGGATGAGTTTACTTCAAGCCATGAAGAACTCTGAATTAGAAAGGCTTGGAAAAAAATGAAGAAAAATTAGATCCTATGACAACATTTAAATGAACTAAAGATGAAAACAGAGAAGGAACAGGAAGGAATATAAAACTGGTTTATTTGATCAAGGTTAGAACAAGATACTACATCTTGTTACTTCTGGGCTTTCTGCTGACACCAGAACTGAAAAGATAGATACAATATGGGACTAAGAAGTAATGGTTTGTAACCTTACTGGGGGTGTTAAATTTTTTTTATACTTGCAACAAAATTTGGAAGTGACTTCTTTATAAACCTTTCTCTTTATTACATTCTGATACTTTTCTTCTCTGTTCTCTTCTTCTCCTTTCTCTTCACTTTTTAAAAGTTTAGTTTGTATTATATTTCGTTATTATTATAAGGCAAATTCTTAATAAAATTGTATTTTTTAAAAAAAGAATCTTTGTCAAGTTTTTAAAGTTTTTTTCTAGGGCTTAGAATTTTTTTTTCTTTGATTACTATTTCTAGCTATAATTCATGGCTGACATTTCCAAAACCTTCCCTAAATCTCTCCTTTAAAAACAAAACAAAACTGGTAGTCTTTTGCAATCCTTTTGGCTGGATTTGAGGCACAAGATATTTTTGCTAGCAAGTCGGCAAGTTGACATTTGGCAAAACATTTGGGCGGATGCAAATCACAGTCTCTCTAAAAAGTCCTGGAATTATCACTGTCTGACCGTCTAAATTTTTCCACCATTTCTCCCATTATTGACTCCCTTGGCCCTAATTGTCAAGCTTCTTCACCCCGTTGCAGCTTAGTACATCACTGGCTGCTTTTAAGAAAGCTTTAAAGCATGCTGGCTGGGGAATTCTGGGAGTTGAAGTCCCCACTTCTTAAAGTTGCCAAGCTTGAAAAAAAATATTAATCTGAAAACTCAGATTAAATTTAAATGTAAAGGTGCATGGCAGAATGGTGGTTAGTAAAACAAAACGGTAGCGCTGTTTTTGTGATAGACAGTCTCCGACTTATGACCACAATTGAGCCCAACCTGAAATATTTCTTAAGTGAGTTGGTGGGATTCAAATTTTTTTACTATTGGTACTGTGGGCGTGGCTTGGCTTGGTGGGCATGACAGGGGAAGGATACTGTAAAATCTTCATTCCCTCCCCACTCCAGGGGAAGGATACTGTAAAATCCCCATTCCCTCTCTACTCCTGGGGGAGAGTTACTGCAAAATCCCCATTCCCTCCCCACCCCACTAACCTGCTTTCCAGCTCCATTCTCCTGTGCAGGGCAACAAAAGAAGACCCAGCCGATCAGCTGGGACTCGGGAGGCAGAGAATAGATGGGGGCGGGGCCAGTCAGAGGAGGGATTTGCCGGTTCTCCGAACTACTCAAAATTTCCGCTACTGGTTCTCCAGAACTGGTCAGAACCTGCTGAATATACCACCTCTGGTTTTGCCCCATTTTTACGTCTTTTCTTGTCACAGGTGTTAAGGGAATCACCCCAGTTGGTAAGTTAGTAACACGGTTGTTAAGTCAAACGGGTTTCCCCATTGACTTTGCTTGTGAGAAGGTTGCAAAAGGTGAGGACACGAGCCCGGGGGACGCAGCAACCATCATAAACATGAGTCAGTTGCCAAGAATCTGAATGTTGATCACATGACCATCGGGATACCGCAATGGTCATAAGCACGGGTGGGCTTCGAAAATTCCGGCAACAGGTTCTCTGCTGGTTGCCGGGTGGGTGTGGCCATGGTGGGTGTGGCCTAGTCAGCCTCCTGCACCATAACAGGGAGCCATTTTTACTTTCTCCAGACGGCTTTCCTCAATCCTCTGGGAGGGCTAAAACAGCCACCCCCGGGCTCTGGAGGCCTATTTTACCCCTCCCTGAGCCTCTGTGTGGGCCCTGCACTTACCTCGCATCCGAAACAGGCCGCGTAGCAACTCCTGGGAGGGGAGGGGTGAGGCGGGAGGGCCAGCCAGGGATGGGATTTGGCGGTTCACCGAACCACACATGAATCTTAGCGAGAGGATTGCCTGAACCCAGGCGAACCCATTGCAGCCCGCCTCTGGTCACAAGTGTGGAAAATGGTCCTAAGTCGCTTTTTCCCCAGTGATGTTGTAACTCTGAAAGGTCACTAAATGAACTGTTGTAACTCG